AACGTCATGTCTACTCATATCCTTACGAAAAAATTCAGCTACCAGTCTCCTTATCACCTTAAATGAAATTGGATGAACACATCTCATCTATATGATTTACTGGCAACCTCGAAAGCTTATAAACGAAAAAAATAATTTAAATTGATTTGCTTTTCCCTAGTTCAACATAATTACTGCTCTATATAGTGCTTTGTCTTATAGACCCCCCTAGGCGCCCAAACTATCTTAGTCTAAACTTAGATTATATGACCAAGATGTTGTAGCCTCTATTTTGGTCGCATTCTCCTTTCGATATATAATGGTCGTTTAACCTTCTTTTGGCAACTTGGTCATATTGGCAGGAAAACCTATGAAAACACACCTTGTCCGGAGTCCATATTATTTATGATAATTTCCAGATTCGGATCATGGATATGGTACATTCCCAGACATTTTCCCGGTATCGTCAATGAATCTTGCCATTTTCAGCACCAAATTGCAACTCGTCAAGAAGACAAGTGAAGTTAATTCATTGACAACTTCATGCTGAAACGGCTGTACTATTACTCTTTCATTCTGGCTTGCTTATATTCCATTCCCCCAAGAATTGTGTCCTTTTGGCGTTATCACATAAACTGTTTGCCTTGCTCCCCCCGGTTTCGAGTATCTGATCCTACTCAAGCCTCCTGTCTAGATCTCTTTCTTATCTCATGAGATGATGAAAAGTGTGAAATTAGACACAATATAAGATATTTCATTCATTTAACTATGGAAAACTACTATCATTATAGGAGACATTAGGTGAATATATTAGTCAACAAAACGGTTTTTCCGACAATACAGTTCTTTTTCACATATGGACTTAAGCCATTTTATTCGCCTAACTGAATTAAATGAATAACTAGATCATTTTATGATTATTTGATTTTTAATTTTTATTCTTAGGTGGTTGTGATGGTTTTGTTAATATCTGGGATGGATTTAATCGCAAGCGGCTTGCTCAGCTACATCGATTCCATACCAGCATAGCAAGCCTTGACTTTTCTGATGATGGAACCCAGCTTGCGATTGCTGCTGCCTACATGTACGAAAATGGTCAGCTTGAGAACCAACCAGAGTCAGCGTTATTTGTACGTTCTATCCTTGATCATGAAGTGAAACCCAAACACCTAAACACACAACAACAGACATCTCAACCACCTCCTCCACCCCCGACTTCATCAGTGACGTTAGCAGTGCAGCAACAGACGGTGCCCTCTATGTCAGGCTCTCTCTACTTAACGGCAGGAGGTCCAGGAGCTCCAAGACATTAATAACCGGCATGAGTTTCTCAGTTACTAAATAAATACTAAGATTCTGAGACACTCCAAATTGGCTTTTGCTTCATAAACGTATTTTTATTCTCCACCTCTGGCCTCTTACTTATATTTCCTTAACTAGGTATAAATAAGCTGCGAGATTATCAGTAATTAGTGAATAAGAGCTTTGCCACCTTAAATTGCTTATGACGATTAAAGGACTGATAGTTGATTTTTTCCACAGTGAGATGAGTAGACCTTGGACTGTTATGAAATTTCATTTAGCCTTGCCTCCCAGAAGGCGATCCCATTTAAGATAAATTGCATATTCGATCTTGCTTAGGTCAGCACCTCTGACGGGATTCGATACCTCGTCATGAGTATCGTGTCGACTATGATCATCCATACACAGTCACGGATGTCAGTGGGTCATTGGGCGAATTTGACCTTGAAGACAAGTAAACATTCACTGAAGGCAAGAACATGAATTCTAGACCGATGACGGACCAAAGCAAAGTGCAAAGCAGGCAACAATGCTTAGAGTAAAGCAAATGCAGTCTCATGAAAGAAAGGATTCAATGAAACATAAATATTATCTCATTCAGATTAGTATATCCACAGGATGATCAAAAAGGCTGTTGCCATTCCCTCATAGCTGGAATGGCACTGGCTTTGTTGATTCCCCTGTGTACATGCTAGCCCGAACGAGGTATTCCT